ACACTGAAATAGTGGTATAAAATATCTGAAAGTTTGTCCATGGGCACCAGCTCTGACCCTACCAAACTCACTGCAGGGAAGAAAAGGAAGCTCTGTACTAGTATCAGAAGACCAGAACTCTAGCCCTGGCTCTGCCAAGAAAAGAAAAAAACAAAAATAAATACATGGATTTATCCACTGTCTTCTAAGAAATAAAAAGAATTTCAATCTGATCCCTGTGTAACTCTTCCAGAAAATCAAAGCTTAACTTCTAATAACAGATGATGCCACTGTGTGGGGTCTAGATATACACTGACTCAAAGACACAGACTGTCATAAATTTTCTTTATACTTTTGAATTATGATTTGAATTATCTATGTTTTTTAAATTTATTGTACTCTTTCATTATGATTCTAAGACATAATTTAGAGAATGTACCACAAAAGAGAAACATTTTGGAATAAACTAATTGAAATGCTAAAAAGACCCCTTCTATGCCTTGGTTGCTGTTATCCACAGAGAAGCAGTACGTCTTGTTTCAGGAAAAAAGGGAAATAAGCAGTACTCTTGCTCCTTATTGAGTAGTGCATTCTTTCTTTGAGCGAAAACTTTTCTTCCCTAAACATTGGCTGCATGACCTCAAAGGCCTATCTAAGCTCTCACACTCTATGATCATATTCAGTCTGCAACTCATCCCCCAACCACCTCCAAACTTCTCACATCTGTTTTTCTAAAAGTACTTCCTAATACACACATTTTAAAATGGGTAGCTCTTTTAGTTTCAAACACTAAGCTATTTTAATTACATGGCTCTGTGTAATGATGCAGGTGTATATTTTTATATTTCATTTAAAATTTGCTACAGTTGTTACCCCCAAACCCACTGTAGCCAGAAATACTATCACCGCTAAATCCCTCCTCTTGTATGGAAGTTCTTGGGCATCAAGAGTGCTACATAGGTATTAAGTGCATGTGATTTTATCTGCCTATCCCCTTTGCACATACCCGATACAGCATTTGAACTAACATGTCCTTCAAACAAGACATTCAATTTCAACATTCCTTGATTTTCTCATTACTGTTAGTCTCGCACCTTGAATCCCAAGCCTTTCCCATGACATAGGCTTTTGTACCCACAAACTCAAAGGCTCTCTGCAGTCTTCCCGGCCACTTCCCTAGAACAGTACACAGTATTACGCTAATATTCCTATTATTTTTATTTTTCAACAATTTCAACATCTGGTGAGTCACATAACCGCTTAAAGTAGCACACTGAAGCCCTTCTTTAGTGGCTTTTGAATTGATTATGTGCTTGTTTCCTCTGTTAAGTGTACGAATTACTCTAGACAAAGGACATGGATCCCCCATAAAGGGATCTCAATAAATGTTAGGTGAATGACTGAAAATGTGAAATTAAGGCACATTTCCCAAGTAAAAATATGAATAAATAAGTGAACAGAACTAAAGCTGGGAAATCTCAGAGTAGAAAATGCTCCTGTGGAAAAAGGAGCAAAAGGTTCCATAAAGTCTATCTTCAAGTACTCAGACATTTCTCAAAGCTGTTATGTGAATAGAGCTCCTTGGAACCTCTACTGGTACATTCTACATAGAGTAGGATTTTCCCTAGATCGAGCAGTCAAAGTGGCCTTAATAAGGGAGTTCAGAAGTGGGTTCAGGAACACACACAACGCATGCTTAAATAATGAGAAATCATAGACCTACTAGCCTACTTTAAGTAGCCAGGTGATTCAATGGGTTTTATAATTTGCTTTGGATCAAAAATAAAAACATCAAAGTTGGGCATTAACATTCTACAGTTCTAGGACTTTTCAAGTACCTTTTAATTACAACACAACAGACATCATCTTCTTTTAGCACCTATTTTTAATATTTTAGGTGTGTGATTATCACTCTCACAGCATATAATTATGTTAACTAATAAATACTAACATATCTAATTCAGTTCCACCAGAGTTAAGATAACACAAAAGAATGAGTTGTAACTCCCAATTAAATCTTGCTTTCCTAAAAGTAGAATGATAAAAATGTTAGACGGGATCACTCTTTAATTTCTGAATGAAATAGACACATTGAAAGTAGATTTTTACCTCAATTATCCACTTATTCTACTTAAGGATTATCATTATTAATTTTTCTAAACCTACTGAATGTTTTTCTTTTTATAAGAAAGCCTCTAAGGACATTGTTACTCATATGATTATTTCATAGATTTTTGTCATTGATAAAAAGGTTTTAAAATACTGATATCCTCAATCTGTTTTTAGAACTTAAAACCAAACACAGGTGTAAATTCAGAGTCCAGCTGTGCTCACAATGTAGTCCTATGTCTTAAGACAGGTCACTTATCTTCTAAGTCTGAGGTTCCTCCACTCCAGATCAGCATATCATTAATATCAGAGTTTCAGTCTTACTCAAGTGAGAATATATGCTTTACAATCAGTGAAGCACTGTCCAAATATCAGTGATTATTAGTTTGTGTGCACAGTAAGATTGTGCAAACAAAAATGGAGCTTGTAAATAACCCATTAAAATGCAGTGGTTTATGGGAGGTATATGTTGACACAGCCTTAAGGAATGAAAGCTATATTAAGTAGAAGCTCCACAGTATATATTAAGAATTTAGGGGGGGGGGGAGAATTGAGCAAAAACTCTATTTTTATAAAGGAGGGGATAATGGACAGGTGACTCCAGTGGAAAACTCAGTGGTCTTGCTGTTCTGAGAAATTGAGCTTGAGGCATGTGCCTGAGTGGAATAGGAAAAATGCTTAACATCAAACACTGGTCCATCAAAGGCTTGCTGGAGAATGTCTCAGATCTGGCCCATCTTCCTGCATCTTTCCAGAACACAGCTTGTTTCCTATGTTCTTTTATAGAAATGAAATTTGGCTTTTTCCTGATTGAGAACCTTCCATTATTCCCCATCTATATAAAAGCCTAAGAAATCATTATGACCGGTTGACCGCTCAACCGGTTGCTATGATGCACACTGACCACCAGAGGACAGATGCTCAATGCAGGAGCTGCTCCTTGGTGATCAGAGTGCTCCCACAGCAGGAGCACTGCTCAGATGACCGAGGGGCACCACACGCTGGGCTCATGGCTGGCGAGAGCAGCTGCTGTGGCACAAGCCTCTGCTGTCTCTGTGGCAGTGCTACTGAGCAGTGGTGGCAGCAGCAGAGGCGGCAGGTGCAGGGGGGCCGGAATGAGTGGGAGCGGCCTGAAACCAGCAGTCTGACTTCCCCCCGAAGGGGTCCCAGATTGCGAGAGGGTGCAGGCCAGGCTGAGGGACCCCATAGGTGTACGAATCCATGCACCAGGCCTCTAGTTGACTATAAAAGACAAGGCAAAATCTTAATCTGGCATTCAAACTTGTCCCCAGGCTATCAGTAGAAAACTTTACAATCCTGTAGATACTTTAAGCCTTTAGTAGCCTTGTATTTAGCCACCTAGAAACCTGGACCTTTCTCCTCAATGGCCGAGGCTGTTCTCCATTATTGTCTCCATTATTACTAGTCTACCCACCCATCAATCTGAACATACAAGCCTTCTCATAAATCTTCTCAGATTCTGCAACCTTCAAAAGTATGTATCACTCTCTTCTTTATGTTGCTACAATATCCGCCTTAGTTTATTATTATGGGCCCCTGGGCAATTATAATGGGGTCCATTTATTTCTCATTCCACAATCCACTTTTCTTCTCCTAACAGTTTTCCCAAAAGACAACGGTACCTGCTACAGACCTGCATCTCAAGATGTTTATAGAAATTATGTGTATTTCCACTACCAACAGATCTGGTGGGGCCAAGAGTAATGATAGCAAAGGAAAAGCTAAGTTCTACTCTAGTGTGTTTTGCTGACAGTCCCATTATATGTCTAGGAAAGGTAATGGGAATATATCTAAAGAAGAAAGCACTGCTACCTTATGTGCAGCCCTGACAGCTGAGAAGCAGGGCTAGATTTTAATTCATGAAAGGAACCATTGTGAACACAGGAGCTGCTGTTCAAGAACTGGAGTAAACTCAGCATGCCATATGCACTGTCACTTAGTCAAGCAAGCATCTCACAAGTCAAACATGCAGTGACAATTGTGACAGTCCAGTGTGTGCGCCTAAAGTTCCATTGGCTGTCTCCTGAGGACATGGAAGCCCTGACATAGATTTCCCACTACCATCTAAAGACCTGAGATTTACAGGAATGATCACTAGCAATGGAAGTTCAGTTTCTGAATGCAGATAGCAAAATACAATGCAGAAAAAGAGCCAAGCTAAAAAAACAACAACAAAAAACCCAAACAAACAAATAAATAAATAAACTGATAATAAGGAGCACCATCTGCCTTTTAAAAATAGAGATTAATGGCTATCACCAAATTCTGGTGAACAAGAGGAGAAACTGATATATTCTAACTGCCAACACAAGCTATTCACAACTTTTGGAAAGATAAATAAAGAAAGTGGTCAGACTCCTTAATGTAGAAATCCTAATATTAGGAATCTAAGACAGGGAAATAGCTCTAAAGAAAATACTCATGAACATGTCCTTCATAGCATTACATGCAACAACCAAAAAACGGAAGCTACTTTACAGGTACAACATAAGGAATTTCCTTATAGAAGACGTAGCCCTCACTTTAACTTTAACATAATTGTGCTAAATTCTATTTGTTAAGATTATAACAATGTATACAAAATATCAACATACTCAAAGCCAGAAAGTGAAAAGGACAATGGAGTAAGAAGAATTTTAATTTTCAGAAGTTTTTTGTATAATGTTGTTGTATTTTAAAGATGGTACTAATTAAATTAAATTTTAAGGATTATGCCTGTTAGAAAACATATGTTGATATCAAATAAAAAGACGACTTAGTCTTAGACCATTGACTGTGAGAAGATTTAAAAAAAAAAAAAAAGGAATGGCTATGAACAGCAGCTTGTATTTTCAGATCATCATAGACCATTTGTAGCTGGTCATATGGAGACATTCCCGGGCAGCTCTTACCTGTGGGGGCCGAGGTTTGTAGGGGGAGCTGCATTCAAGGTCAGCCAAGATGCTAGTCAATGAGTCAATCTCAGCATCCAGGCTGGAGCGTCTCTCCTCAATGGTCTTGCCTCCCGGATTTCCCTGCCAGAAGCAACACAAGACATGTTCAAAAAGGAAATTTCCAGTTTCCATTGATATCTGACTGAATTCAAATTTTCCAAGTTATAGTGTAGCTTTGTCCAAAATGTTCTGAATCTACTTCTGTGCCCCCAACCCTTATAACATTTCAGTGGTGGCCTGAAGTAGAATGATCCCTTTTTGACAAATAAGAACACTGAGAGGTGTAAGGTTATTTTTCTAAGGTCACACACTTATTTTTTGATGAATATAAAAGTAAAAATAAGTAAATGTCTCCATCCTGTAGTCAAGAAGCATATCCAAGTAGGAAGATAATGCAAGTTCTTTGTGTTCAGAAACCACTGCTTAGAATGATGACATTTTAGTTGGAACAGGAAGGGCAAGGGTGGGAGACTTACAGTCCAGGAAGAGGAATCAGCAGGGGATCCATGTCTGTGTGACAGACAGAGGTGGCAAGCCCCAATCAATGAGTCTAAAAAATGAACTAGCATGAGCCTGTTCAGGGTTCTGGCCAAGGAGCTGCGGAGGATGAATGTGGCAGTGGCCACTGATCTGAAGTAGGAGCTTTATGGATTTCATATGTCAATGTCCTGTGTTAACAGAAGTACCAGCACTCAGAATCAATAAGAGGTGAGTAGAAGACAATAAAACTACCACAAGGGCAGCCCCAGGCAGTGTGGGAAGGTTCTGGCAGGTAGTTTGCTTAGAGCTTAAGGGAAAAATATAGAAAGTGAGGTGGCTGTAGAATTTGAAAATATGAAGTGAGGTGGCTCTTTCACAAGGTAATTATGATCATGGATTTTCTGGGAGCATCCATAAGGCTCCATCAAAAAAACAAAATGCATCAGCAGCAAGACACAATAGAAATAAATTAATAGGAAGTTATTGTAAACTAATCAACTCTATCAAACTTGTCTAAGGCAGTTAAATATCAGTATAGTGTCTGGAAAGGCATAGAAAAAGCATTAACCAAGAAACCAGAATATCCTCAGCAACAACAAAATATAGGATACCTTCACAAGCTATCATTAAACCTTACAGTCCTCCAAGTAAGTTTATCTTTCTAGCAAATATGCTGCATTGGGCAATGATAGCATAACAGAATTTTCTATGAACACAACTAGTTCTTTTCCTTCTGGTAGCTTGCTCACCAAACCATCTTCCTTGAGTGATAAAACTTATTTAAGTATCTGTTAGACAGCCCTTAGGGAATCTGATACATTAGTCTCTTGTGAATTTAGGCAGTATGAGCTAATCCCTGTGGACTTGATCTAACCCAAGCATACTGACAACACCAAAGTCTATGAAGACCCCTTGGAACGAAACCTGATGACTGCTGCCTGCCCCAGGGGCAGCTGGCATCCCTCTCTCCGAGCCCTCTTTAACTATGCCTATGTTTTATCACATTATTGAAAGCAAGTTTCTCTACACTTACTCCTTCTGGATGTATTTGCTTGACTTCTCTATGGCATTCTTATCCCTCACCTGTTTTATTTTTCTCATAGTATCTACCATGATCTAACATTACCTTTTATGCACAATTGTCTATCATCAGTTTCCCCCAGGACAGTGGTCGGCAAACTGCGGCTCGCGAACTGCATGCGGCTCTTTGGCCCCTTGAGTGTGGCTCTTCCACAAAATACTGACTTCTCTGCATGGGCCATGAAGTTTCAATCGCACTGTACGTGCATGCCTGCATGTGGTATTTTGTGGTATTTTGTGGAAGAGCCACACTCAAGGGGCCAAACCCGCATGTGTAAACTTAAACTACATAGGTAGGTACATTGTTATTAACTTAATTAGGGTACTCCTAAGGCTTACGAAGAGCCACACTCAAGGGCCAAAGAGCCGCATGTGGCTCACGAGCCGCAGTTTGCCAACCACGGCCCTAGGAGAATATAAGCTTCATGGCAGAAAGGACTTCACCTGTTCTGCTCCTTATGATTCCTCAGAATCTTGCTGAGGGCCTAACCCACAGAAATGTTCAATAAAGATGTTTAAGTAAATAAATAAATAGGTAATGACAGATGCTGGCATAGTGGTCCAGTCAGTAATCCTTTCCATATCAATATTTTTTGGGGGGTAAAAACTGCTAAAGGTATAATGAAAGCAGTGGGTGGTCTAGTATAGAGAGTAAATATTATATTATATAAAAAAAATAACCAAATGGCTCAATGTGCATGTGTGTGCATATATGTGTGTATGTTTGTGTATTTCACACTATATGGCTCAGATACGAAGGTTGCCCTTGAGAAAAATTGGAGATTTTCCTCACCTCTCTTCCACAGTCAAAAATGAAAAAAAAGAACAAGAAAATAAATAAATAAGTGAAATGCCAGGTTGATGATGTTTTCTCAGAGCATACATTCTGGGTTTGACCTAACACTATAATGCCAGAGGGTTGTTTTGAAAGTGCTAATCCCTCTATCAGAAGCATTCTCATCATTATCCCACTGAGTATTAATAACTATGAAATATTGTGGTATTATTAAGAAGAAAATCTTTTACACATTCTTGTGAATATTCTGACACTGGGTCCTGGTACAAAAAGAAAAGGGAGGATATTATTGTTAAGGAAGACAACTGAGAAATGTGTGAAGCTGTTCTCTTACATGTAAATAAAAAAACATTATAAGTACAAAATTGATAAGTGTATTTCCATATACTCATAGATAGCACAATACATTGATAAGGGCAGTGGATTGCAGCCTGGTTAAATTCTTTCCTGAGCCCTAGTTTCCTCATCTATAAAACAAGGAGAGTATCACCTGACATACCTAAGACAGAGGGATATTAAAATATTCAGATAAAAATTGGATGAGAAAATACTTTGTAAATTATAAAGTGCTATAATTATAATTTTCATAACTAGCATTAATTACAGCAACCAGTAACTATAAATTAATATGAATAATAATGCTATTGTTAATTATTCTTCTCCTTAGGGAAGCATCATTCATTAAGTGTTCCCTGGGGGTATCAGTAAAGAAACAGCATTTAATAAGGTCCACAACATCTGTACTGTAGCAGAAAGTACATCAACTGCCCATTGCCAAAGTCACTGGGATATCTAACCACAGAGACTCAAAATCACAGAATTACCCTGAGCAATACAATGGAACAAGTAATTATAGTGTGCAACTAGCCTATGCACGCAATTGGTATTCAGCCTCTTTATTCTACCATTCCTCTGAGTTGAAACTACTCCCCATTTTTAGTTGCTCACATTAGGTTGATGCAATTTAATAAGTCCAGCCTAATGCTGTGAGATTTTGTACAAATAACCTTTTGTTGCCTTACTTGACCTTCTGAGAACTGCTTCGTGCCTACATTTATTTTGATCCCCATTATGGATAAGAAGAGGCCTCCTTTTCACTATACATTCTCTATTTTAGGTCTCAGTTCAAATAACAGATGTCCTCCCAAGTCCCACCAATAGCCCTTCTCTGGAAGGCTCATCTAATCTCACAGCACCACTAGATTCAGGGACTATAACATAGCTACTCCCAATACTTTATACTAGATACCAGAGGCCACAGTCTTATAATGAGCTAACAGAATCCTACACACACATAGTAATGTATCTTTTCCTTAACTCCTCATCCCTGTAGCTTTACCATTTACCTAAAGGCTAAATGACCTGCTGGAGGCCAAATAACAAGAAACAAGGTTCTGCTGACTCTTCGCCTAATGCTTTTTCTAGACACCACATAAACTCTTATAAGGTGGTTATTGTAACAACAACAATTCTCATTTTTTCAACCATAACTAGAGAGATGCCACTGTCTTGGTCCAGGTTCTGCCCAAAATCAAAGCCTGATGCAAAGACAAGCATGTCGGTCCTAGGAAGCATGACTGAAGGACTGGAAAAATTAAGCAGGGGAAGAGTGAAAGCCAATTCAAATGTGCTGTATTGAACTGGTCAGCCACATAGGTAAGTAGGTCTCTATTCTCCTCAAAGCCCTCGGAAGAGTCCTGTGAAATGTGCCTCAGATCTTCCCACTAAGGGGTGAAAGAATAGATTATCCCCAGGCTCCAGTTCTCCATGGACATATGCTGCCTATGAGTTTATAAATTCCCTCATACTTGTCCCAAGAAGTGAAGTGGTGGCAGAGACGCCCCAGGGAAGAAAGAGAGAGAAATGTATTATAGCTGAGGCAAGGTGCCACCAGGTCAGACCTACACAGAGGTGGTTGCTGTAGCAATGGCTGGTGCATGAAGGTGAGACCAGAGGATAAATGGTGAGGCACAAAAAGTGTTCTTTTACTCACAGCCAGAAACCCCACATGAATAAGGCATTCATAAGATATTTTTTAGAATATAATTATTTTCATTCATTCATTCAATAAATATGTATATGATTAAAGCTCACCAAACCACAATTGGGGCTTCTTATAACTTAGAAAGTTATAAGCACTATAAGTGCCACTAGTAGAATTATTGGGTGATGGCATTTCTGTTTGTAAATTCATAGGAACAGAGTTTAAGCAGAGTGCAGAACCAAAATGTATAGTCTGTGAGGCTATTTCCAAGAGTCTGACTTTAGATGGGTCATGTTTTAGCCCACATATTGCTAACCCACTAATTACATGTGATAGTCAAGAAGCAGTTATTTATCCATGTTTTATATCCAAATATCTTGTTTAAAAAAAATTTAACTCACAGAAAAGTTGTACAAGTAGTATAATGAACTCTACCCACAAACCCTGTACCCAGATTCATTAATGGTCAACATTTTGTTCTCTCTCTCTCTCTCCTCTCCATCCCTCCCTTTCTTTCTCTTAAATTCTTTCTTAAATAACAATCAGAAGATAGGTATGACCACTCAGAGTAGTTTATTCATGTATCCATTTGTAAGGCTATGGGCAAAGTCTACAGCTTATATATAAAAGATTCATTTATTATGGTAAGGTTAAAAAGTTAGAAATAACTACCCTTCAATAAAAGAAACTAAAGTAAGGTGATTTAAGTCAAACAGCAAGAGATCTTTACTAACCTGACTC